ACTCATTCACGATAAATCTCAACTAGGGCTGGGTGTCGTTAAGAAGTTCCCGATACGTATGGAAGCCGAGAGGGGTCACAGCAAATGCAAACGCCGCGACAAATACAAATGCAACAACACAACAAAAAGCCACAACACACCAAAAAAAGCCACAACGGAAATGACAGCGGGACTCTATTTTAATGCAAACGCCGCAACAAATACAAACGCCACAACACAAACACAAACGCCACAACACATTAAAAAGCCACAACGGAAGTGACCGCGGGACTCTATTTTCCGATGGACCGATCAAGTGGCAAGTGAAGAAGAAGAACTACAACGTGAAACGAATAATGATAAAACTATAAATTACTGTTACTTACATTTCCAACTTCTCCGTTCCTTTACTTTTCACCTTGTAGTTCTTCTTCTTCACTTGCCGCTTGATCGGTCTGTCGGAAAATAGAGTCCCGCAGTCACTTCCGTTGTGGCTTTTTAATGTGTTGTGGCTTTTTAATGTGTTGTGGCTTTTTAATGTGTTGCGGCGTTTGCGTTTGTGTCGTGGCGTTTGTATTTGTTGCAGCGTTTGCATTAAAGTCCCGCGGTCATTTCCGTTGTGGCTTTTTTTTAGTGTGTTGTGGCTTTTTGTTGTGTTGTCGCATTTGTATTTGTTGCGGCGTTTGCGTTTGTTGTGACGCCTCTCGGCTTCCGTAGCTATGATACATACATCAATACAGTGAACTTTTGATTCGATGTGATATATTTCAAATTGATTCGATACAGTTCAGTAAAAAATAATGGTCTAAACCAGGGGTGTCAAACTAATTTTGGTCCGGGGGCCGTATCCAACCTACTTTGATTCCAAAGGGGCCGGATCAAAAAACTTAAGGCATCCAACCCCATTAAAAAACGGTCCGCGCGCCACAATCCAGAGCGCCCTATACACGAATCCACTCGGGTGTCGCAGCACGACTTCAGTAAACTACAAAGCCGCACCACCCGCAGAACACACAAACACACACGGAGCAGACAGCGACCGCACAGAGAAAAACACCCACAGACACACTCATCACTCCACGCCGACGAGGAACGGAACGAAGGAACGAACCGAAAAAGCGAGCGCAATGTGCCACTTCTAGACACGACTGAACAACTGAGTCACTGCGAACACGCCGACAATCCGTTGGTCCCAGACACACCCTCCCTACACGCCACAACTGAACAAAGCCCAGAGTCACCGTGAACGACACAAACAAACAAAACCACTCACCCATCACACTGTTGTGTTTCCTTTAAAGTCCGGTGCGATTTATTTGTGAAAAAAGTTCAAAAATAGACCATTTAATGACGGTGTGTCTTATAATCCAGAGCGACTAATAGCCTGGAAAATACGGTACCCCAAAAATAACAATAAGTTCAAATATTTGTTTGTTGAGAAACACAAATCTATTACAGAAATCTTTTTAAATTGATGAACTCTTTCTTTTACAAAATATTATAATATTATGAACAACCTGAAACTTTAAGAAAAATACAATTTCAACACAATGTCTTAACATTAACTTGTCTGCAAATAGGAATAAGTAAATTTTTGTTGTAAAATCCTGCACTCGGCTCCACTTTTCTCATGTTGGACATTTTTCTGATGAGGGTGTCACGGTCAACAGTCAAAACGATCGTCCTTTAAGAGCGTTTGGAAAGAGACAAGTCTTCATTTGTGCTGCTCTGGTGGGAGGGGCCACGTACAGAGACACTGGAGACGCTGCTGTGATAAACACCACAGAAAATTAACAAGATTTTAATAGAAAATATAATTAAAATATTTTAGTAGAAAATCAGCCGAGGGCCAGATTAAAGGTCTTGGAGGGCCGGATCCAGCCCCCGGGCCGTATGTTTGACACCCCTGGTCTAAATCATTGTTCTGATACTAAGGCCCTGTCCACACTAGTTTGTATTCGAGTCGTTTTCGTTGTAGATGCAGTGTTCGTTCGCATTAATCCGATGGAAAACGGCTCCAGAGATGGAACGATCTGGTGCCTCCAGCTCCCACGAATTCATGTTCGTACAGATCTGATCCGACACTGTGTGGACGCCTGAAAACACTGATACTCTGTCGTAGGAGCTTTAGTGTTGGGAAAAACTTCTGGAAGAACTTCTGGTCCGCAAATTTTTCTCCTTCTCATTATTTGCTCCAAAATTTGTCATTTTAATCTGAGGTTTTAAAGTCTTTTCAACGGACAATAATCAAGTTTTTGGGGTCGAACAACGGCACCACTTTTCTTTTTTTTTGGATAGGCCAAGTAATTACAGAAATATGAATCATAAACCAGGTCAACAAATCTGCGATCTGACAGCTCCACAGCAAACTCCACCTGAGGATTCGGACTTACCTCCAGCTCAAGGAGACTCTTTGGCTATTTTTACGTGACTGAACATTCCAAAACCAGTCGTAGCGTCCATTTGTGCGTCGTCAGCACATACCTGAGCACTTAGTTACTATCTTATCTCCGTTTGATTG